TCTACTCTTCACTATTTTATCGAGATTGGTCATTGCTCTCCTCCCAAGAAGTAAGTGTCCCCTGATTTCCTGGCTGCAGTCTGCATCTGCAGTAATCTTTGCACCTAGAAATACAAAGTCTGTCACTGCCTCCACATTTTCTCCCTCTATTTGCCAGTTATCAATCAGTCTTTTTGCCACAATCTTTTTGCCATCGCATGATGTGTTCTGCATACAAGTTGAATAGGTTGGGTGAGAGTATGCACCTTTCCCAATCTTGAATCAGTCTGTTGTTCCATGGTAAGTTCTTACTGTTGCTACTTGATCCTTGTACAGATTCCTCAGGAGAGAGACAAGGTGATTTGGTATGCCCATACCACCAAGAACTTGCCACAATTTATTATGATCCACACAGTCAAAGGCTTTAAAATAGTCAATAGAACAGAAATAGATGTTTTTCTGAAACTCTCTGTATTTCTCCATTATCCAGCAGATATTGGCAATTTGGTCTCTCGTTCCTCTGCCTTTTCTAAACCCAGCTTGTACATCTGGCAGTTTTTCCCCATGTATTGTTGGAGTCTTCTTTGCAGGATCTTGAGAATTACTTTACTGGCATGTGAAATAAGTGATTTGAACCTCTAATCCGTCCCCTTGGCTATGGGCTTGTTGGCCACCCTAACTTTATGTTATGCAGCACATTTATTGAAAGAAAGGGGGGGGGGAGCAAAACAATTCTCTTCTATACTTTTAGAAGTATAGAAAGATGTCCTTGTATCATAGTAGATTGTTGGTCGGCCTAGCTCAATATTGCTTGTAACAGGATTGGACAAAAGTGTTATTAAAACATCTATGCCAGCTGTGCCCAGATGTCAGGGTGCTCCAAAAGAAATATAAGAAAAGCCAGTTAGAAAGGTAGCAATCGGAATAAGACACGAGACCTGGCACCAAGTCTAAAAATAAGGATGAGCAATGACAAATGTGGATGCAGCATCTCTGTTTGGAAAATGAAGTGGCTAGATCTTGACATTCCCTTTGTAATGTGTAAGTTGCTCCGTTCTGAATGATTCATGTGCTTGAAATGATTCATTTTCTTTCTTTCTTCTACTGTGGTTGGGGGAGGAATTTATATACCCAGCATCCTTACTCTCTAAGGAAAACAGAACTAAAATAACTGCTTTTAGTAACTGCAAAAATCCTGCTGGCCCAAACAATACATGCTAGAAAACATTTCAGCATAAAGCCAAGTTGTTCTTGCTGTTGTTGCTGTTTGCCTTCGAGTCATTTCTGACCTTCAAGTCATTTCCTAAGACCAACCTATCGTTGAGTTTTATTAGTACGATTTCCTCAGAGAGAATTTTCCTTTGATTTCTTCTGAGGCTGAGAGAGCGCAACAAGTGGGTTTTGATTTTTTAAAATCATGTCAGAGGCAACTTGAGAAACAGTAAGTCACTCCTAGTATGAGAGAATTGGCCATCTGTATAGATGTTGCCCAGAGGATGCCCAGATGTATTACCATCCTGTGGGAAGCTTCTCTCATGTCCCTGCGTGATCTGACAGATGGGAGCACACCCCATCTCATGGATTCAGGTCAGCAGTTCAGCCAGCACAAGGGTTTGACCCACTGGCCACCGCAATGATGGTTGAGTATAGGTTCAAACTCTGGTTTCCAGTCGTAGTCCAATACTCATACAATTACATGATAAAAAGTCACAGATCTGCTTTTTAGTTTCAAATATATAATTATGCATTTGAGTCAAAGGAAAATAAACTGTCCTACAAAATTCCCTATGACTTCCCCTCAGACATTTATACATGGCCATCATGTCTCTTCTCAGCCTTCTGCAGGCTAAATATGCCCACTTGCCCAGCTCTTTAAAGCCACTCCTCATGGGGCTTGTTCTCCAGACCCTTGACCATTTTAATCACCCTCCTCTGGACAAATTCCAGCTTGTCAACATCTCCCTTCAATTGCAGTGCCTAGATATGGACACAGTATTCCAGTGTAGTCTGACCAACTGGGTTTCCATGGCCAAACGAACCCTGATCTGAGGAGTCCAACACTCAAACAAAGACACCATTGGCAATAAACACGCAGTTAATTAATGTAAAGTTATCAGGTGAATTTGAACATCACAATAATCCAAGGAATCATAGGATCCTGTTTCATTTGGGGATGAGCAGCATGTTAGTGTATACTACTTGATACAAGGAATTTCAGAAATTGCTTCACATACCATGTTATAAGCCTTAACAAACAAGCAAACACTGCCAGAACAAAGGAAGTTGTATTGTCAAAGGCGTTCATGGCTGGAATCACTGTTGTAGGTTTTTCGGTCTGTATGGCCATGTTCTAGAAGCGTTCTCTCCTGACATTTTGCCTGCATCTGTGGCAGGCATCCTCAGAGATTCTGAGGTCTGTTGGAAACTAGGAAAAGTGGGTATATATATCTCTGTATAATAATAATAATAATAATAATAATAATAATAATAATAATAATACTTCCTCTCCGAGAATTTCTAGGTTCTGAAAGACAATTATATGGTATAATGGGACCAGAAACCAGGTAATTTAGTGATGTTCTGTCATATATTCAGTTTTAGGCAATGGCACTCTGGCCAGGAATGTATCCGCTGCAGATACCAGGCTCTGACTGTATAGGATTGTCTGTAGTAGTTGCATTCAAAACAGAAATTTCACCATTAAGCTACCACTATGGGTGCATGGTAGGACAGGGCTAAGGGATGTGTGGCTGACTATCTACACTGCCATCCCCATCATCCCCCAGTCTGGCCTATGCTGGCTAAAGGTGATTTAAACTTCAATCCAATGACACCTGGAAGTCCAGACATTACCTGGCCACGTGCAAGGAAAAACTATGGGTTAAATTCTTGGTCGACTATTTCACAGTCTCACATCCTATGTTGGGAGAAAGATCACTGCTTTAAATATAAAACTGTAATGGCCTCCTTCCCTTATGGCATATATCTAATGAAGGAAAGGAGAGCCCAATTCTGGTGCTTGGGTTTGGATGGGATTTAAATATCTTCGTAATAGCACAGTGAAGCAAAGTCTTATGGAGGAAATGATGAAATTGGGGTGAAGACCAACAGCAAAATATTGGAAAAGGACACATGTGTTTGCATCACTGTGTCACTCAAGATATTGGTTTGCTCAAGAAGCATTGGTAGGCAAAGGGTACCATCTTGCCCTTTGCCTCAGGCAGGCCAAAGGCCACACTTAATAAATACCCAACTTTTCTGCTTGAGCTTTGTCTCATCCCATCATTTCTCAGCCCCAACTCCATTTTACATCCCAACTAATTCATTTCTCTTTTGCCTTCACTTTCGTCTCCTGCTCCGTCTTCCTTTATCAATTTTAGATTGCAAGCTTCTTGACAGCAGTTAATCCATCTTATTTTTGCTTGTTGGTTACATACGCCGCTGTTGCTGAATAAATGACATGCAATGAAGGAAGAGAGGTCAAAATAGGTCTGTAGTCACAATCCCATAGAGTTTGCAAAGTTACTTATTTTGGAGATGTAGTTAAAAGATTCTGGAACTTGCAGTCCAGAACAGGAAATTCTCTCCAAGTTGGAGAAATTACCCAGGAAATAGCTCCTAAAAACATGTTATACCATGTAATTACTCCAAACCAAACCTTAAGTTTGCCATTTTATAAAAGAGATGCCATTTTCTTATGCCACTGAATATAATGGCATAAGTTTAGAGAAGAGAAGGCTGTGAGGGGACATAATATCCATGTTTAAATATTTAAAAGGATGCCACATTGAGGAGAGAACAAGCTTGTTTTGTGCTGCTCTGGAAACTAGGGTTCAAATTCTATTCGGCCTTGGTCAGACCACACCTGGAATACTGTGTCCAATTCTGGGCACTGCAATTGAAGCTAGAATGTGTCCATAGGAGGGTGACTAAAATGATCAAGGGTCTGGAGAACAAGCCCTATGAGGAGTGGCTGAAAGAGCTGGGCATGTTTAGCCTGCAGAAGAGAAAGCTGAGAGAAGACATGATGATGACCAAGTATAAAGATGTGAGGGAAAGTCATAGGAAGGAGGGAATAGGCTTGTGGGCATCCAGTCCAACCCCCTGCCAAGAAGCACAAAAATCACATTCAAAGCACCCCCAACAGATGGCCATCCAGCCTCTGTTTAAAAGCCTCCAAAGAAGGAGCCTCCACTACAGTCCAGGGCAGAGAGTTCCACTGCTGAACAGCTCTCACAGTTAGGAAGTTCTTCCTCATGTTCATGTGGCATCTCCTTTCCTGTAGTTTGAAGCCATTGCTCCGCGTCCTAGTCTTCAGGGAAGAAGAACCAGCAAGCTCCCTCCTCCCTATGACTTCCTCTCACATATTTATACATGGCTATCATGTCTCCTCTCAGCTTTCTCTTCTTCAGGCTAAACATGCCCAGCTCTTTAAGCTGCTCCTCATAGGGCTTGTTCTCCAGACCCTTGATCATTTTAGTCACCCTCCTCTGGACACATTCCAGCTTGTCAATATCTCTCTTCAATTGTGGTGCCCAGAATTGGACACAGTATTCCAGGTGTGTCTAACCAAGGCAGAATAGAGGGGTAGCATAACTTCCCTGGATCTAGCCCCTAGACTCCTATTGATGCAGGGCAAAATCCCGTTGGCGTTTCTTGCTGCAGCATCACATCATTGGCTCTTGTTTAACTTCTTTTCTAGTGTGATGAAGTGAGTATGGGCAAACAAGGGCTCTCGAGGTGTTTTGGGCTTCAACATTCTCCATTCCTAACGGCCTCAGGCCCTTTCCTTTTTGCCCCGCAGCCGCTTAAGCCCATGCCGGATCCAGAAACACGTCCAGCGTTGTCGGCCGCCTTGAGTCTGGAGAGAAAGGCGGGGAGCTGAGAGGAGGGCAGGGTGCCTCTGTGGTGGCGCCGCCTTTCCCTGGTCTGGGCGACAGAGGTGGGCTGGGAGAGAGAGCCTTGGAGGCGCTGCCGAGGCTGAAGTGGGCGCTGGGCTGGGACTCAAAGGGAGAAAGGAGGCAGAGGAGGAGGAGGAGGAGGAGGAGGAGGAGGAGGAGGAGGAAGAGAAGCGCGTTTCCTGGGCGCGCCTCCGCCGGTGACGCCTGGCTGGTGGGGAAAGCAGCCGTGCGGCGGACCCGGAGCGCCAGGTAAAGAGAGAAGGGGATGGGGAGGGCGAGGGAAGGGAGGGGGGAAAGGCGGGAGGGAGGGAGAGGCGGCCTCCTCCACCTCCTCTCCCCCTTTGCCCTGCATTTGGGAGGGCGCCCCGTCCTCTGGGGCTGCTTGGAAGGCCTGCCCTCCTGGACCTGGGCAGAAAGGCGATGGAGGGGCACTTCAGGCTCTTCCTTCCTTCCTGGAGGGTTTGGGGGAGGATAGAGGGCTCTGCTTTCTGCCCAGGGATGGCACCCCCAGGCAGTGCTGAGGAGGCTCACTTGAAGAGGCTCGCTTAAGAACCCCTCATCGAGCTGGAAGAGACCCAAGTGGCCATCCAGTCCAACCCCCTGCCATACAGGGACATGCAACCAAAGCAATCCTCAGAGATGACCATCCACCCTGTGCTTCAAAATCCCCAGAGAAGTAGGCATCCTCTGGACTTTGGATCTCATCCAAATGGGCAACCACTTGAAGAGGCTCACTTAGAGTCCCTCGTTGAGCTGGAAGAGACCCCAGTGGCTATCCAGTCCAACCCTCTGCCATGTAACCAAAGCAATCTCCAGAGTTGATCATCCGGTCTTGGCTTCAAATCCCCCAGAGAAGGAGGCGACCTCTGTACTTCGTATCTCATCCAAATGGGCAACCACTTGAAGGGGCTCACTTAGAGTCCCTCATCAAAGTGGAAGAGACCTCAGTGGCCATCCAGTCCAACCCTCTGCCATGTAGGGACATGCATCAAAGCAAGCTCCAGAGTTGTCCATCCAGCCTGTGCTTCAAAACCCCCATAGAAGGAGGCACCCTCTGGACTTTGGATCTCATCCAAATGGACCACCACTTGAAGAGGCTCACTTAGAATCCCTCATCAAGCTGGAAGAGATTTTACTGGCCATCCAGTCCAACCCTCTGCCATGTAGGGACATGCAACAAAGAAGCCTCTAGAGGTGGCCATCCAGCCTCTGCTTCAAAACCCCCATAGAAGGAGGCACCCTCTGGACTTCGGATCTCGTCCAAACAGGCAACCACTTGAAGAGGCTCACTTAGAGTCCCTCATCGAGGTGGAAGTGACCCCAGTGGCCATCCAGTCCAACCCCCTGCCACGTAGGGACATGCAACCAAAGCAATCTCCAGAGATGACCATCCAGCCTGTGTTTCAAAAACCCCAGAGAAGGAGGCACCCACTTCCAAATGGGCAACCTGGCACCAGGCATCTTGGGACTCCATTACCATAATCTGATGGTGGCAGGGGTCTGGTCATATCTGGAGGGCAACACATTGGAATTGTGTGCCTTCAAGCAACCACTGACTTACATCACTATCATGGGATCTTCTTGGCAATATTAAGAGGTGGTTTGCCATTATCTTCATCTAAGGGAGTGGTTCTCAACCTTCCTAATGCTGCGACTACTTAATAAAGTTCCTCATGTTCTAGTGACTCCCAACCCTAAAATTATTATCATTGCTACTTCATAACTGTAATTTTGCTACTGTTATGAATTCTAATGTAAATATCTGACATGCAGGATGTATTTTCATTCACAGGACCAAATTTGGCACAAATACCCAATAAGCCCAAATTTGAATACTGGTGGGGTTGTGGGGGGGGGGGTGGTGGTTGATTTTTGTCATTTGGGAGTTGTAGTTGCTGGGATTTATAGTTCACCTACCATCAAAGGGCACTTTTCCCCTGCCTTGAAGGGACGCAGGCTTCCCTCCAGCCTTGCACGCTCTCCCTTACCCGCACATGTGCTCCACACTGCCATGCACCAAGCATGCCTGCTCTCCCCTTCCCACTTGGAGTTATAGAAACAGCTCTCCCCTTAGCTGAGAGGCCGGCCAGTCACAGCGGAGAAGGAATTTTGGTGGGAGGATTTCCCATCTGCTTCCAAAAAGGAAGAGAAGGACAGGTGGTGAGATCTTCAACCTTCTCTGCTAAAGGGGTTCCTAAGACCATCAGAAATATAGGTTTTTGCTGGTCTTTGGCAATTCCTCTCAAGGTTGAGAAACGCTGCTCTAAGGTCAGGGCTAGATCTACACTGCCACGTAATGCAGTTTTGAACTGCATTGAATTGTATTAGGTGGGTCTACACCAGGTATGAGCAAACTTGGGCCCTCCAGGGGTTTTGGACTTCAACTCCCACAATTCCTAASAGCCTCAGGCCCCTTCCTTTTCTCCCTCAGCTTATGCAACTGAGGGGGGAAAGGAAAGGGCCTGAGGCTGTTAGGAATTGTGGGAGTTGAAGTCCAAAACCCCTAGAGGGCCAAAGTTTGCCCATGCCTGGCCTACACTATATCGTAATGCACTTCAAACTGCATCACATAGCAGTGTRGGTCCAACGTGGGCGAGCCTCACTTGTRCTGTCATCTAAAGAGTTCCCTTGGTTTTTTAGAGATTTGAACCCTGGTCTCCCAGAGTACCAATCCACCCCTCTGGATCCAGATTGTAAATGCCACATGCAGATTTTGGATTCARGTCCATGCCTGTGTGAGAGAGAACACACGTGCGCCTGAGAACAGCTCTGCATCACAGTCCTAAGCAACAGTTACCTGGAAGAAGCTCCCCTTGCATTTCAATGAAACTTTAATTGGGTGTTGTTAAAGGCAGGAGTGTGGAATATTTAACTAGCTGTTGTCTTGTGCAGTTCATTGCGGAGGATTGCTTCTATTTTACATGAGAAGAGCACACGGCTGCAGTAGTAAAGCACCTGCTTTGTATGCAGGAAATCCCAATTTCCATTCAGTCCATTAAATGGGTCAGAGAGCAAGTAAAGCCCTTTGCCTCTGCCAAGCCACTGGCAGTGGACCTTTTTTGGCTAGTTGAGACACTGGGATTCTTTGTTTTCCTGTATGTTGTGGTCATTGTTGTTCTGTGCTTTCAAGCAATTTTCTAAGACCAAGCTGTGATGGGATTATCTTGGCCCAGTTTGTTCAGAAGGGGATTGCTTTTGCCTTCCTCTGGGGTTGAGAATGTGACTGGTCCACGTTCACCTGTAGGTTTCCATGACCAAGCAGATATTCGAAGCCTAGTCTCCAGAGCTTTGCAGAAATGCTCAACCCATTGCACTACCTCTCCTTCTCTTCCTCTCCCTTAAGATGAGTACTATTTTGGACTTCAACTCTCAGATTCCCTGTTATAGAATCATAGAGTTGGAAGAGACCTCATGGGCCATCCAGTCCAACCCTCTGCCAAGCAGGAAAATTGCTTCCAATGCACCCCAACATCCAGTCTCTGTTTAAAAGCCTCCAAAGATGGAACCTCCACCACACTCCAGGGCAGAGAGTTCCACTGCTGGACAGCTCTCACAGTCAGGATGTTCTTCCTAATGTTCAGGTGGAATCTCCTTTCCTGTAATTTGAAGCCATTGTCCCGCATCTTAGTCTCCAAGGCAGCAGAAAACAAGCTTGCTCTGTCCTCTCTATGACTTCCCCTCACATATTTATACATGACCATTATGTCTTCTCTCAGCCTTCTCTTTTTCAGGCTAAACATGCCAAGCTCTTTAAGCTTCTCCTCATAGGGTTTGTTCTCCAAACCCTTGATCATTTTAGTTGCTCTCCTCTGGACACCTTCCATCCTGTCAACATCTCCCTTCAATTGTGGTGCCCAGAATTGGATGCAGTGTGAATCCAGGTGAACTCTGACAAAGACAGAAGAGAGGGGTATAATGATCTTAGACCAGTGGTTATCAACCTTTGGGCCTCCAGGTGTTGGACCTCAGCTCTCACAGTTCCTAACAACTGGTAAGCTGGCTGGGATTTCTGGGAGTTGAAGTCCAAAACACCTGGAGGCCCAAAAGTTGACAACCACTGATCTAGACACTATGCTATTTATGTGGGCCAAAATCCCATTTGCTTTTTTAGCTTCTGCATGACATTGTTGACTCATGTTTAACTTGTTGCCCACGAGACTCCCAAGATCTTTTTCACACGTACTGCTGCCGAACCAGGCATCCCTCATCCTGTATCTTTGCATTTCATTTTTTTCTGCCTAAGTGGAGTATCTTGCATTTGTTCCTGTCTACCATGTCATTAATGAAAAATGTATCCAAGACTATCAGGATGGGTACAGTTGTCCATCCCTGTACTAGAAAGACAGATAATCTTCAGTGGTCTTAAAACAGAATTCCCCCATCTGGTGCCTTCCAAACTCCAGGTCAGTGGTAAAGCAAAGTGGAGTTATAGCTCAAAACATCTGATGAGACCTACATTGGGGAATTCTATGTAAGGGTGCATTCAACACTGCAGAATTAATGCAGTGTGCCCCTTAAATTGGTATGACTCAATACTATGGTGAAAGACTTAGGAAAATTTAACTCCCATGATAACAACAACAACAACAACTACAACTTTATTTTTATACCCTGACACCATCTCCCCAAGGGGACTCGAGGCAGCTCACAAGGAGACAAGACCAAAAATTACAGATAAAAACAACCACATTCAAATCAATCAAATAAAAACATAACACAATCACAACAACATCATAAAAACGATATCATGGCTGAAAACAAAATCGGAGCTGGGTCCGGGCTCAAGTAAGTGTAGTGAATTCCTAAGTAGAACCGAGGGAAAGTGCAAAATTTCAGATGTGCCAGGCTAGAGGAAATACCTTTGATACCATATGATATGATACCATAGCATTGAGCTATGGCAGTTAAGGTAGTGTCCTACTGCATTGATTCCTCAGTGCGGATGGAATCTTAGAAGGTTTATAAATAATAAAGATTATTATTATTATTATTAAGTTTATTAAGGTGTAACTTGGCCAGTGTTATTCAACATGGTATTGACTTAGCTGGGATTTGACTTTGCTTGTTTTTTTGCATCCTGTCCAATAGCTTCTCGCTATGGTAAGTTCTCCCAATGAAGGATGAAGTGATTAGCTATAATGCAAGCAATATATTTTCTCCATAAACAGGGCAAGTTCATCTTTTAATGCCAGTTACTGGGGAATACTACCTTTCGCAGGTATTATTGCCCACCAGGGCTGCAGAATGCTGGGCTAGGTGGACTTCTGGCTAGATCCAGCACAACTCTAATCTTGTGGCCGTATTTCCAGATGGAGAAAGGTCAGAACTTAGAGAGAAAGGGATAAACATTTCACCAGGATTTGGCCACAGATGGAATAATTGTGGAGTTATACAGAAGCTCTATGGGACATGTGTTAAACTCAACGGCTGCTGTCCAAATCTGGCCCGCCATGTCATTTTGTGTGGCCCTCCAGATGCTGGACTACAACTCCTGTATTCCTCATAATTAGACATTATAACTAGATCTAATGGGAGTTGTGAGACAGCAACATTTGGAACGCTGCAGTTTGTTGTTTAGTCAGGATAGTGAGGTTTGAATTTAGATACAAGGTGTGTGGATATGATGTCTGACTTTAAAATGTTCATTAAGCTTTTCCCGACCTTAGAGCCACAAGTGATGTTGGCCTGCAATTCCCATTCCCTCCAGTTAAAAACAAAAGAACACCAACCATTATGTAAATAAAAAATAGTTGCCCTGCTGTGTCCCCGGATTCTTTGTCCATGAATTCCGTGGCCCTTTGAAGGCAACCATAAGGCTGATGTGGCCCTCAATGAAAGTGAGTTTTACACTCCTGGTCTAAGGAATACTTGAATAGCCTGGCAACTTTTTAAGGGAATGAGCAGCTCTTTTGCACCTTTTGCCTGAGCAGGAAACATTCAACAAGTGAAACTTCTCCAGCATTTGGACACTGTAATAACAGTTTCACCTGGGTTTTCTTCCTTCATAGTTTCTGTTTCTTACATATCTGCTTTCTCAGTCCAGATGATTTCCTCTTCTATCCCATGAACAATGCTTCAGCTTAGCTAATGGATAGCGTTTTCCTCCAAAATCATTAACACTTTTATGGCATGTGAGTAAACATTATAAGGTGGTGGGCAGGGGCAGAAAAATCTAATCAGAAAAAAAAATTGATGTAACTTTGTATTTGGAATATGTAGAGGCTTGATTATGTGACTTGTTAATCTTGAAATTTACATGTTTCCATAATCTGTAATTTTACTGCAGATGAAGAATGAAGAAATTGCTATATTTTTTTTATCTGAGAGACACCTTTCTTGGAATTTCAACATCTGCCAACATGACTGTATTATGAAGTTGACAAAGAACTGCACTGGAGGACCTCGAGATTCCTAGAGAGGTGTGCTCTTGGGTAAAAAAGAGTGGAGGTTGACCACAGAGTCACATTGGAGGACCTAGAAATTCATAGAGAAAACATTTAAATCAAATCCATGAATAATGAAATCTGCAAAAGTCAAAAACATAAATGTGGAGGGACAATTACATTTCATATATACCTTACCTAATCCTTAAACTTTTGTTATTTATTGTTTCAAGTTGATTTTATTGTGAACTTGTCCAAGATATTTGGATAAAGACTGAAATATAAGTATTTTAATATTAAACAAACATTTAGGTCAGGGAATGGTGAGGATGGCTCTCAGGCTATTACTTCCCATTAATTCCCTAGCTAGCAGGGTTTTGAGAGTTAGAATACAGGGGGGGGGGGGGTCTGGAGATCCACACGTGCCCTCTGAAGCCTTTACAACAAGTTGAAGACTTCAAGTCAACTGGTTCAGGCTGACTTTGCTTGAAATCCAATATCCCCCCCGCCCCCCCACACACACACAGATGTTTAGGTCTTAGTCTCTTTTGTGTTCAGGGGCATGTTTTAAGAATATTCCTAACCAGAAAGCAGACACACTTTGTATGCCTGTGTGTATTACTGTTTGTTATACATGCAGTCAAATTCCTATATGCAATAAAATTTGATTTTAATCACAAACCAGTGTGTTAAAATTCCACAGACTCACAACCTGGGTTGTGTGTAGGTCATACCACTCTATAGGCTAAAAAAGCTTGTTTCCTCCCGGAGGCTCATGATGCAAAGTCACTTTGACTCCAAGGCAGGTAAATGTTTTCCTTGCTTGCCTGCAGCTGTGACGATGCCAATAGGCAGACACTGGTGTTGTACGTATTTGCTTGCATCCGTCATTCTGAGTAATGCAGCTGAATTGCTTATTGAGAGCCAGTGTGGGTGTGTGCATGAAACGAGAATTGAAGCAACAGACCCATGGGATTAGCAGACAACTTTCTTCCATCCCCACCCCAGAAGCAGAAAATGAAAACAAATGAAATTGGAAAATAGGAAAGGGTGATTCTGGGCAGGTGCCAATTGCTTTGGGTGCTCTGTTGCTTGGGCACAGGCAGCTGGCTGATTTCCACTCTAATGGACAATTATAACCTTATTTCTCCTCATGGAGAAGCAAATTAGATATTTCACTACTAATAGAAGTATGCCTATGGATTGAGAAACCAGAGGTTTGCCTCGTGTTCTACTTCAGCCTCCCTTGATGGATTGGATGCCAACGTCTATCATTTCCAGGTAACCTGAGCAATATCCACGAGGGTGATTATACTAACACATCTGGATGGCACTGGTTGGGAAGAAGGCAGCTTTATTGCTAGTTGGGAATTTAGATGTCCACATAAAGCAATGGTTCTCAACCTGTGGGTCCCCAGGTGTTTTGGCCTACAACTCCCAGAAATCCCAGCCAGTTTACCAGCTGTTAGGATTTCTGGGAGTTGAAGGCCAAAACATCTGGGGAACCACAGGTTGAGAACCACTGATATAAAGCTTTGGGAAAATGAAAATGGTTGTCAATTTCACCTGGATGTTGGAACCTTTTCTAGTATCTAAACTGCTGTCTTTCCTCAACAGGCCTGCTCTCCAAGGGGGTATGTAAACATTCAAGACTCTTCCTTGGTTCCCTAGTGAGCAACAAACATGCCAGAACAAAGTAATGATTATAGAGTGGTGGTGTTTGGAGCTGCTGGTGTTGGTAAGAGTTCGCTGGTTCTTCGCTTTGTAAGGGGAACCTTCAGGGAAACATACATCCCAACTGTTGAAGATACTTATCGCCAGGTGATCAGCTGTGACAAGAACATCTGCACCCTTCAGATCACAGACACCACTGGAAGTCACCAGTTCCCTGCTATGCAGAGGCTGTCCATCTCCAAGGGCCATGCATTCATGTTGGTGTACTCTGTTACCAGCAGGCAGTCCATCGAAGAGCTCCAGGCAATCTATGACCAGATCTGTCAGATCAAAGGGGACATCCAGAAGGTACCCATCATGTTGGTGGGAAACAAGAGCGACGACACCCAGCGAGAGGTGGATGCCAATGAAGGAGAAGTCCTGGCCACCAAGTGGAAATGTTCCTTCATGGAGACATCTGCCAAAATGAACTATAATGTCCAAGAACTCTTCCAAGAACTCTTGAATCTGGAGAAGCGAAGAAGTGTAAGCCTCCAGGTGGATGGTAAGAAATCGAAGCAGCAGCGGAAGAAGGATAAACTGAAAGGCAAATGTTCTGTCATGTGAAGTGCAGGTGTTTTGACCTGTGTAATCGAAAGAGGTGGAGAGATTCATTCTTGGCAGTGCATTCTCATACATTTTGGGATACAGATAGACAGAGAGAGTTTCTATGGGCAAATGATTGTTGTTAGGTTTTGTTTGCTTGCATGTTTGTTTTTAAAGTCTCATTCTTAAACTTTGGCCAGGTTATTAAAATATTTACTTGAGGACAGTCGGGGTTTGCATGATTCATTCTGCACATCAGGTGTTAAAAAAACATCCACCACACCACAACAAATATGAGTCACTGTAGTACAGAGAAGCCATTATGACTGAGCAGCAGAACCCTGCATTTTAACTTTGCATTTTACTATAGCTTTTAAGTCTATCTCCAACTTACCATTTTATACAAATGCTTACAAGAATGGGTGGTTCACGATGGAACTCTGGTCAGTAAGTTAGAAACAAAGATAACATTTTGCCTAATAAGCAAACAGAGTAACCTGACTTGTTTTTAGACTGATTTTTAACCAGGGTAAAATCAAATACTGACTACTGTTGTTTATTCATTTTCTGTAGTTCTTTGAATGAGTTGTATATATAAGGAGAAGCTGCATTCCTTACCAAAGATATGCTATTTGTTCCAGATTAAAAATTATAATTTTGTATTTAGTGTTGTGTATTGGCAAGGGTTTTATGTGAATTATTAAAATGATTTGAATACCAACTGTGAATCTGTTTAATAGATTAGCTATGTGAGGTGCAAAGCTGTCTTTCCTAAAATTAGTATTAGTGGATTGGGGTCATCAAATATTCTTTCCATCTTTAAGAAGCTGAGACGAGAGCTTGGAGTTTCAGCACCTGATGTCATTGTGTAGATTAGTATTATTATTCTTTTTAAAAGAATGAAAACTATTAGTGGTCTTGAACATTTTTTTAATTAAAGCGAGGCAAAATTCTTAGGTTGGATCCAGACTTAATATTTAGAGTCTACACACTGAAATCAATAACACTATTTAATCACAGCTCAAAAGTTGTAAATTTAGCTGAATTAATAGCTCAAAGTGTCACAAAGTTTGGATTCAACCCTTTGTTTAAAGGCGATGTTAATCTGAATAGATTCATGTTCCACTTTTACACAAGCTGCATGGGCCTGGTCTTAGATTGCAGCTGTTGCCAGACTAGATGTTTAGTGGAGAATAGCCACATTAGTCACTTGTCCACATGTGGACTTCTAGATCATTGGAAAATTGTTATATAAAGGATTTGATCCTTCGGTTGTTCTTTGAGCTAAATTTGGCCATTTCCTTCATGGTCTACTGAGGTTTTTAATTTTATTGTAGATTCAGTGGTGATTGAAACTCCACTTACAATACTTTTGGAATCTATGGGGGATTGGTTCCAGGACTCACCACAAATACCAAAATCCATGGATGTTCAAATCCCAACCATAACAGCCAGTGGCAAAAGGACCAGCTGCCTAGGAAAGAGATCTCAGAATGCCTCCCTGATCTCTCCCAAGCTTTAGTCTACCATAAGTTTCTGGGGTTCCTGTCTGAGCACCCCTTCTTCCTTTTTTCTTTCTTTCCCCATCTTGTTTTCCTCTCTATCCCACCTCAGCAGTGTTCAGGTTCATCAGGAGAGCACAATGGAGCTGCTTTTACCACAGTCTTTTCATGAGGCACACCATAGAGCAGTTTAGAGAGATGAGACTATATTAACCTTAGAAAACACCTTTTAGGAACCTCTGGATCCTCCAGAATAACTGTATGGTCATTTTCTACAGGAAGGTGCTCTCTTTAGGAATCTCAAGGTCTATCAGCACAACTCCATGATCAACTTCCAGCAGAAAATGAGCATATAGTTGTAGTCAAGAACCCAGAGATTCATAGGGATCATATTAAATCTGATAAATCAAATTTGCAAAACAAACTCACAAATTTGGAGGGCAGACTGGACAGCTATAGTAGCTTGATTCCAGCATGAGTTTGGGTGCAGACACTGATCAGGCCACCTGCTGACTGATGGGAACCTGCTCATCCAGCCCTGAGTGGGTACACTTTTGGAATGATGGCCTAAAATTCTGTCTGGGTGTAAATTGCTGCATGGATTATCTGCCACTTTGGGTAGGATGGATTGCCTGTCCCTCAATCAGACATGACTCAAGTAGTTCACACACCCAAGGCCCCATTATGGGCCCCCCAACTGAATTTGAGCACCTGTGTCCTGTCTGTCCCCAACTGGATCTGGGCCACATTCTAAAACTATCCAAAATTGAATATATAATCAAGATTCACAAATGCTACAAAGGAAACCACAAAACCAGGGACAGGAATGTAGACAGAAGAAGGATGGAAATGGAGCTGTATGCTGATTGTGGAGGGGAATGCAGAAAACTGCTTTCAGGAACTTTAAAGGCAAGATTCAAGTTTCTACTGGGATGGGATCACATTAGTGCTATAGAATGGTTTCTGTCTCACTATTTCCAGGTTTGCTCCTGCAGAATTCTGGGAAATGTAGTTTAGGGAAGCCAGGACCTCTCCAGCTGAGAATTCCAAAGTCCTGCCCTAAACTACAAATCCCAGCATTCTGCAGGAGCAACCTGGGCAGTAGGGAGATAAAAACCTCCATTCTATAACACTAATGCAATCTCCTCTTATCTGAATCTCCAATCACGCCCACAAATCAATAAGAAGATGCTAATTTGTAGGTTTTTAAACCCTTCCTCGGGGTTTCGGAAACTTGAGAGGCTTCTGGGCAGGAGAAATCTACATTAATGGAGAGAGAGAGCCTTTGCTCTGTCCCAGTACAATCCATGTGTTAAGGATGATTTTACATGCCATCATTGCGATAAATTCACCAGAACAGGCAAATACATAAAAGATCAGTAATGAAAAGACAACAAATGGAATTAAAGTGACACGACTTCTTGCCGATTGGTTTTAATATCTTTTTCATTGTGGAAGATTATTCTGGGCAAAAAAAAAAAAAAATCAGCAGATCTTCCTGACTTTATCAAGCACCTCAAAAATGGGTTACAGCTACAAATTTGTATTAGAAGCTCATAAAATGAAGGGCAGGTTTAGTGAAGCGAATCTGTTCAATTTTGGTGTACAGTGTCCTGGGAATTTATTTTACATCTCATTACAAAATGTGAGCGTAGAGTCTAGTCACTGCTGACTATAAAATTAAATTTCTTTGTAAGGACAAAAAAGTACAAAAAGACAAGAGCTTCTCAATAATTAAAAAAAGGCTAACATTAATCACTAATATTTTATACCAGTGGGAGATGTAATCCTTTCCATCAGCAGGTACATTTTTGTAGTCCAGGAAAGACACACAGTGATGTGATGTAATAAGCAATGCTTTTCAAGTACTATCTGTATATTCACGTATCTGTAACAATATAACGGATGGCCATGTATAAATATGTGAGGGGAAGTCATAGGGAGGAGGGAGTAAGATGGCTATCTGCCCTCTGCTGTCCTGGAGACTAGGATGCGGAACAATAGCTTCAAACTATAGGAAAGGAGATTCCACCTGAACATGAGAACTTCCTGACTGTAAGAGCTGTTCAGCAGTGGAACTCTCTGCCCCGGAGTGTGATGAAGACTCCTTCTTTGGAGGCTTTTAAGCAGAGGGCAGAGGGCCATCTGTTGGGGGTGCTTTGAATGCAATTTTCCTGCTTCTTGGGGATTGGACTGGTTGCCCATGAGGTCTCTTCCAACTCTATGATTCTAAAGTCACTGGGAATCTTTGATGGTGACTTTTGGGGCAAGAGTACAGGGATGCGTTCTTGTCATCAATAAAAATATTGCAGTACATATTGAGACAACATGTGAAGAGAATGGCCAAGTGCTATAAGATGCCTTTTTTAAAAACTGCAAAAACATAATTGTGTAAAAGTTTTTTTGTGTAGAAAACAGTGCATTATGTGGAAAGTATGCCATTTTCTTTATGAAATGTTCTTTAGGGTCTAGGTGATGATGATGATGATGATAATGATTAGATATAGAGAACTACAGACTGACAACCCTACCCCTACTACAATTAATCCTACTACTCCTCACAGAGCAAAAATCAAATTATTTCCCCATGTCTGTATGCCCATCTGTCTTGAAACTACAATAAGTGACACATGAAGATGCCACTTTCCTGGTGAGAGATGCCATTCCTAGAGTGTAGTCTAGAGCCTTATTTCTCAAGCAAGGGTGGGGTGAGTCCCCAAACAAATACCTAAGGAATGAGGAGATGCTTGCTGCAAGGATGTTTACATATGGTGTTGCCTTTGATTGTTTATAGGAAAGCTTATGTTAAAGGGCAGGTTATCCATAGTGTGCTGAATAAAATATTATCTTTGGAAGCACCAAGTAAGATAAAGTAGGTCCAGAATCTCTATTAAGGAAAATCTTGACACGCTCTGTGTTTCCTCCTGTGGTCTTACCTACACAACATTTCTCTGTCCTATATTGCTGCTGGCACAACAAGAAGACTCAAGAACTATCTCAATCCAGATTGCACAATGATTAGAAAATACATGCATTTATCACCCATCTCTATAGTTCCCTTTCACTCTCAGCATTTTGGTGCACACACAAATACATTTGTGCTTAACTAGGGAGCCATGGGTCTGGCTAGGAATGTTGGGAATGGATGCCAGTAGTGCTGTGCAATCGATGAAAAAAAAAGTTTCAAAACTCAATATAAAATTAGGGGTGTTGGCATTTCATTTCTAAAGTGTTTCTAAAGTATCATTAGAGAAAATTTTGTTACTATAATGAGAGTAATTGTGGAAGTGAGGAAACTTCAGAGGCTCCTTTCTACCTCATTATTACAGCTTTTGGCGTCACATTTTCTACAATGGTAGAACACATTTACCATTGTTAGCCCATCAAGTTTCAGAAAGTTTCACTTATCCACAGATTTTTGGGAAATTTTCACAGCTTTTATAAACTTGAATGTTCTATACAGTGACACAAGATAACTGGTGATCATTCCCCCAATTTTCAGAAATATTCATACATCTAATAATTTTAGGGATTTTTTAAAAAACGTTTTGACAAAAACCTTTTTTAAAAAGCCACAAGAGCTATCTCATTGAATGTCTCTCAAATTAACCAACAAAACTTCCAAATAGGAGTTTCTTCCCAGCCCAGCAGAGAAATTTACTTACTATACTGGAGGACCTAGAGGTATCAGTCAGTCCTCCTCTTTGCAGATTCAAAAATTTATTGGAACTCTGGCTGGCTGCTGATATGGAGGGACAAATCTCTCCCCTATCCTGGCTGAGGCTTTCTGATGCTGGGCAGAATTCTGGGAAATGTAATTTAGTGCAAGACCTTTTGAATTCTCTGCCATAGGGCTCCTTGCCTTCCCAAACTACATTTCCCAGAATACTGTGTTTTCTCAGTCTCTTTCTCAGCAAACTCTGCTTTCTCCCTGCTGCTTCCCATTCCTAATAAAGAGAGGCCATTAATTTAAAGAGAAATTGCAGCCTTTTTGGCTTTGCTTTGCTTGCTTGCATTCAACATGAAACTGACTTTGGGAGGCTTCCGAGGTTTACAAAATTCAAATGAAAAAGTATTGAGTAAGTGTTGATTCTTAAGTTTTTGGTGGAGGCCACACCCACGTGTCAGATATAAGTACGAATTTATGAATTTTATGTGACCTACAACGACAAACAAAAATGTTGCACAGCCCTAATGCCCAGCTCTAAACCTCCTCTCACAGAA